AGCAGCCAAGCGACGAGAAGGAAAATGTCACGTGATACTCTCTCTAGTGCAACTTTTACCTGTTAACGCCTAATTTTGTCTAAACCGTTTACTCACGCGAATTTATCACCACTTATCTGTTATCAACCCTGAAGAATAAATTCGTTTCTTGTCCACAGATGGCGCAGTAAACAGAACCTGGACTATGCCTATTTAATGCTTTATGCTCACACTAGGGGAAAGTATTACATTCAGGTGAGAAGACCCTTGTTTGATCGTTTGCCAGTATGTCGTCTTTGCCTTAGGGCTCAGCCACGATCTCCTGGAACTATTTATTTCTAGAGAAGGCGGTGGCTCAGCATAGACACCAGAACCTGAAGGTTCATAGCTCGGTACCCCCCCCCCCCCCCCCCCCCCCCCCGTCCCCACTTTTCCCCTGCAAGTAAACCAATTATAGCAGCTTTTGAAAGTGTTTGTTTATGCATTTTAGGGCTTTTATTCCTATAATAAAAGGTGCCGGTACTAACCACAAGCTGTCTAATAAAAGGTGCCGGTACTCACTCATCATCATCAGGTGCAATGCCGACTGGCATAGGCGATCATGCCTCTCCATAATCCGCGATCTCCTGCAGCATGTATCAGTTCGTGTGCCGACACACCTCCATGCCATGCAACAAGACTGTCAAGCATCTTCTCTCGTTGTCTTCCTCTATCCCTCCTTCCACGGATCTTTCCAGTGGTCACAACATGTTCTATTTTCCCTCTTCTCATAACATGGCCGAAAAATGATGACTGTCTCCTTCTGATGTCAGTGATAAGTTGTCTTCGGGCTCCCGCCTCTTTTAAAACCTCTTGGTTGCTCTTTTTGGCTGTCCAAGGTATTCTAAGCATTCTTCTGTAAAACCACATCTCTGAGGCCTCTAAAAATTGTTTGGCCTGCCTACCGATTGTCCAGGATTCACATCCATATGTTAAAACTGGATGTATGTAGCAAGCGAGAATTCTTTTTCTAACTCTCAATGACAAGGATATATTGCACAAGATGTTTCTCATTTTATAAAATGCAGTTTTTGCCTGTCCAATTCTGTTTCTTATTTCAGTTATGCATTTTTAATCTGATGTTATCCATGTGCCCAGATACTTAAATTTCTGTACTTGTCTTAAAATAACACCATTGACTTTTATTACACATTTAGGAATAATTTGTTTCTTTGATACCACCATTACTTCTGTCTTCCCATTATTCAAACTGAGGGGTACTCACTACAGCTGTCTAATAAAATGTGTCGGTACTAACCACAAGCTGTCTAATAAAAGGTGCCGGTACTAACCACAAGCTGTCTAATAAAAGGTGCCGGTACTAACCACAAGCTGTCTAATAAAAGGTGCCGGTACTAACCACAAGCTGTCTAATAAAAGGTGCCGGTACTCACTACAGCTGTCTAATAAAAGGTGCCGGTACTCACTACAGCTGTCGGTACTAAACCGGTACTAACAACAAGCTGTCTAATAAAAGGTGCCGGTACTCACTACAGCTGTCTAATAAAAGGTGCCGGTACTAACCACAAGCTGTCTAATAAAAGGTGCCGGTACTAACCACAAGCTGTCTAATAAAAGGTGCCGGTACTAACCACAAGCTGTCTAATAAAAGGTGCCGGTACTCACTACAGCTGTCTAATAAAAGGTGCCGGTACTAACCACAAGCTGTCTAATAAAAGGTGCAGGTACTAACCACAAGCTGTCTAATAAAAGGTGCCGGTCTGTTATAAAAGGTGCCGGTACTAACCACAAGCTGTCTAATAAAAGGTGCCGGTACTCGCTACAGCTGTCTAATAAAAGGTGCCGGTACTCACTACAGCTGTCTAAAAAAAGGTGTCGGTACTCACTACAGCTGTCTAATAAAAGGTGCCGGTACTAACAACAAGCTGTCTAATAAAAGGTGCCGGTACTCACTACAGCTGTCTAATAAAAGGTGCCGGTACTAACCACAAGCTGTTTAATAAAAGGTGCCGGTACTCACTACACCACGGTACTCACTAAGCTGTCTAATAAAAGGTGCCGGTACTAACAACAACAAGCTGTCTAATAAAAGGTGCCGGTACTAACCACAAGCTTGTTAATAAAAGGTGCCGGTAATAACCACACCTGTCTAATAAAACCGGTACTAACCATAAGCTGTCTAATTGTGCCGGTACTAACCACAAGATGTCTAATAAAAGGTGCGGGTACACACCACAATTGTCGGTAATAACAAGGTGCCAGGTACGGGTACACCACAAGCTGTCTAATAAAAGGTGCCAGTGCTAACCACAAGCTGTGAAATAAAAGATGCATGTACTAACTACAAGCTGTCTAATAAAAGGTGCCGGTACACACCACAAGCTGTCTAATAAAAGGTGCCGGTACTCACTACAACTGTCTAATAAAAGGTGCCGGTACTCACTACAACTGTCTAATAAAAGGTGTCGGTACCACAAGCTAATAAAAGGTGCGTGACCTGACCACAGTGTATCTAATATAAGGTGCCAGTATTACAATCTGTCTTACAGAAGGTGCCGGTACTCACCACATGATGTCTTCTTTTTTTGCGTTCGGTTTCGTATGTTCCGATCACCCATCAGGTGGTTTGCCTCTATGAACTCGCAGGTCAGCAGCAGATCCTACATGGTTCCCCATAGATTGATCTGCACACTTTGCTGTTGTCTAATGAAAATCTCTCGGTACGCACCACAAAGTGTCTATTGTAGTAGTACTGACCAAAACAAAACAAAAACAAACACGATAAAAGGTGCGTGGGGTCAGCAATAGCAACAAAAAGAAGAGAAAAAAAAAAAACAATTTCATAATAATAAGTTAGCTGCAGACAGATTTTCAATCAGTAGTTTGCCATTGCCCTGAACGATCGACTCTCGATAGCACTGTCGAAACCAGCGCAAGACGGTCTGCTTGCCAAATAGTGTGCAGCCGGGATCGAACCCGGCAGTTGTAGTATGGGGTGTTTGACACTGCAAGAGAGCAAAACAAAATCGCTCTTTATTCTATAGCTAAGGGCAAATAATGGCTTTTTTTGTTGTCACAAAAAGGGTAATTTTTTTATGACATATTTTGTTGGGGTGACAAAAAATGGCAGGGAGGGCGGGATTGTTGTAGTACATTTTACCCGACTAGAACATCACACAAGGGATAAACACCCGATGACACAAAGTGCCACCATGTGGATGAGGATCACCCGTGGAAAGTGCCCGGAAACCGCGTTCAGCCATTAGACCATATTTATGGTGGGTTATATTACGGCCCCCTGGCAAGAGCCAGAGTGGGGCTTCAAAATAATGAACAATTGCAACCCACAAGGGGATAAATGGTTTATGAGGGCGGGGAGTAAGTCTATTCTTGTCTTTACCACAAAAGGGAGCCCGAAAACGCACACGGGGGATTTACTACATTATGTTAACACTAATCTGTTGATGGTCCCTTGTGATGCTCATCTATTTATGTTGTTTCTTTACGCAACCTTAAGCTGGAAGATGACGTCATAACAAAAGATGGTGTTTTCCGGACCATTATGAAAACGTTGCTCTGGCAACGCAAGGGGTGGTTTTCCCTCAACTTCTCTCCTTTAGGCTTCATAGGTTTGTATATTATTATTATTATTATTATATAAATACACACACACACACACACACACACGTGTGTGTGTGTGCGTGTGTGTATGTGTGTGTGGTTTTTTCCTCTCACCTGCTGTGTGTCTGAAGTTGTCTTTCATTGATGTCTTCTGTCTTTGTAAAGTCATCGTTCAATAATGTTGACGGGTCTATTGTCTGTTTTAAGTCATCAGTCGTTAGTGATACTGTGTCTACTGTCTGTGGGAAGTTATCTTCCATTACTTTTTCCGTGTCTACTTTCTGTGGGAAGTTATCGTTCATTACTTTTTCCGTGTCTACTTTCTGTGTGAAGTCATCGTTAATAAATGGTACGATAGAGGAGAGGCTGACTGAACCGTTAGAACGCTAGGCTCTGAAGCTGGAGACCCGGTTCGAATCCTCGATATGGCCGGGGATTTTTTTTTTCTGTCGGGGACAAAATAGAATTGTTAACGAATATGTTTACTTCCTCGAGGTAGTCCTGGTAACTGGGAGTGCGAATCTCCAGGCAAACCACAATGGATCTAGAGGAGCAAACCTCGATAATAAACCCGGTGCACTACACCGCACTGCCCCTTGTTGGAGGTATGACTCAGGAGGGGTGCTGCACAATTGTAGGAGTGGAAACAAGTATTCTAACCCCCCTGAATACCGGAAACTATCGTGAAGGCACAGGGACTAAGGACGTAACGATCCAGTTGCCCAAACTACTCATGCTTAGGCCATGCTTGGAGCCACGGAGAACTCAGCGAAAACCAGCAGGCAATCTGGTGGCGGGGCATGAGCACACTATAAGCCCCACTTTAGCTACGTGTCAAATGGGAAGGCAGAAACACAACCCACATTTCCTTGAGAACTGGTACAGCGCACATCTGGCTGCTGCTGCTCAGGGAGGTAGGCAGTCCACAGACACCCCAGCACCACAAGGCCATGAATATGAAATATCTTTGCAACTGAAATCACCGAGCGTGTTGTTGAGAAAAAGTACCCATCAGAGGCCGATTACTAGAATTTGAAGAAAAAAATATTTGAAGTTTAACAGTAGTGTTGTTGAATTCTCACCCTATCAGTTGCTCTCTCAGTCATAGGCTGTTAATCTTTCACAAGGAGTGACAATGTAATCTTGAAAAGGGATGAGAAAAAAGTGTGAGTGGGTGGGAGCGGGGGTGGGGGAATAAAGCAAAACCTATATGCTCAGTTCACCCGTGACCTGAAGATTGAACTGCCTCACGGTTTCAACCCCAACACCCCAGTTATGGCCCCTGGTACTCCACAGGGGGTATTTGTTCCCCCAGTCGACACGTGTAGTCATTAACAAAAATGGTAATCGAATTTCGTTCTTTTCAGGACGAAATTTTTTATTATTTGAAGCTCCTCCCTGGCATTTGCCAGTGGCCGCAATATAGGCAGGCCATAAATATGGCCAATTGTCTGAACGCGTTTTCTGGGACCTCTCCACGGCGATCCTCATCCACATGGGGGCACTTTGTGTCATCGGGTGTTTATCGCTTGTGTGATGTCCTGGTGGGGTAGAAAGTCAGTCAGACGTGTAGTCATTCTGCCGAGTAACCACGGACCTGGCTGCATCGAGATACCAGCTAACTGATTTTGTGTATCTATGTAGTATTGTTTAATTTGTATGTGCTGGTGAAGGCTTATTAGCCGCAACGTTCTCGTTTTGTTTGTATTTGTTATATTGTAAAGCTTGCTAATATACTTTTCGTTCGGTTTTATATCTTTACCTGACCTGAAGAGGACTTATTGACTTATTGGACTGCATTATTGCATGATGTCTGTATCTACAATTTAGGTAAACTATTCCGAACTGCTGATTTGCCGTTCATCGCCGAGTTTTTATTGATGTTTTATCCCGATAAGCCGGGAGATTGGCTCTTGGAAAACTTGATGTCGGCTAAAGTCTGTGGCAAAAACATGACAATGGTGAGTACAGTAAAGTAACCAACTGACCAGTTCAAGGGCAAGTGGCGCGTCAGGTGTAGTATGCTAGACTTATCCTTCTTATCGTTCGTAATTGCGTTGTGCCTCGTTACAGCACAGCTGTGATATTTGCGGCCGACACATCCGACTTATCTGACATTTTTTCATCAGGTTAACCTCCTCCCCGTTTCCTTTCGTGGGACATGATACGGCCTTATTTGTGTTGTGTCCTCTTTTGTCCCTTTATTTACAGGTGTCGCCCCTGGAGAACCCATCTAGGGCAACCTTGTGTAAACTGGTTGACCCTCAAAGGAAGGAGGGACAGGTTATTGATATTCCCCTGTCATCCAAGGAGGCTTCCGCAAACGCAGAGCCGACATTTGACGGTCTGGTACACGGCTCACTCAAGAAAATAATTAACATGGTGGTCGCTCTATGGAATTTGGAGGTGGTGGACTTTTGTGGTGGCTATGCTTTTTTGGTGATAATTCCAGGAAAAATGTATGGTGACGATACTCTTTTGGTGATAATTTCCGGGGAAGTTTGTGGTGACTATACTTTTTTCGGTTATAATTTCCGGGAAAGTTTGTGGTGGCTATGCTCTTTTGGTGGTGACTCTGGAGGTGTCTCAGGTCTAAGATGGTGTCTTTGATATCTTTTTGGCCTACCGACGCATATTCTTTCACGAACATTACCTTTTATTATTGTTCTGATCAAACTATTATAGCGTTTATTGGGATACATATTCTTCTTCATGCTCGTGTTTACCAGCTGTAAACTCCAGCGGAAAGTTCTGGCTGTTCGTCCACTTACAGACTTTGATCCTGTTCCAGAACTTAAGCTTCGCGTGCACATCTGTTTTACAGATCTGGCTTATTTGTATGCAGTCTGTTGATTTTTCACCTCTCAGACGGCTGCACTCCGACTTCGAAGGAAGTGGGGATATATAGGATTTTGATAAGAGCGCACAAGTCTTATTAAGAAGACTCGGACTCGAGCAATAGGTAAGATGATGTATTTTGAGCAAAATAAATTGCAGCCTTTGAACTGCAATGCTACTGAAGAATTTTTAGAACACCGTGAATCAAGAAGAAGAAAAACATCGACATCCTTCATGATCTGAGCATCAAGGAGAACAGGCTCATAAACAGCATCCTGTCCTGAAAGCTGGGGGTATTTTAGTCATGTTAAACGTGGAGGTGGCCTGGAGATGACGGTGATGGAGGGCACAGTTTTTGGAAAACGTGGCATAGGCAGACCTCAGCGAAGATCGACGCCGGACACTGAAGATGCATGCCGCCCCCCCCCCCCCCCTCCTTTTCCACTTTTCCCCCTTATCTCTCCAATGATTAAGAGTCCATGATGACTCACATCCATGAGTTGCCATGAGAAACATGCATGATCTCAAAATTGTTGTTTTAAATCGCTTGTAGGTGCTGTGCCATACTTCCAGTCCTACAAATATGATTAGTAGTCAGAGAGGACCATCCCCACAGCACCCAGGGCGGATCCATTGGTGATTCCATCTGCTTCTTAATAGCCACACAAGCGTAAATCTACTGGTTACGCATGTTCTGTGTTGACTGATCAGAAGTCTTTGTGTCTTTCGTAAAAAGTTCATGTCTGATTGCTCCCTATTACACACTTATATTCATCAACCTGGACAGAGATATTACTGATTTCTGCTTGTTGTCATGATCGTCTTCTCGATATGCATCTCCCTGGTAGTAGAGAAAGAAGCGCGACAATGACGATGGTCCTCTATGGACAGGAGAGACATCATCAATGCCAAACGAGAGGCTAAACGCTGTGAGGGCTTTCAGTTTCGTGGAAAATGATTGTTCACCGCATAGATTGAACACCTTATGTGTGTGTACCAGTTGGAATCGCGAGACAGGAAAACCATTCGGGAGCCACTCGTCGTTACGTCAGCTACAATATAGAAGAAGTTGTTATCCTAAAAGCACTTGGAGACATACTCAGGAGGAGATTAAAGCACTGATGCTCATGTCCGATGTGCGATGAAGATGATATCAGAAACCAACAGTAGAGAAGGAAGAGGGTGCCTTCAAGCAAGCCTGTAGTCTATGGAAAGAGACACCGGGGCACCTCAAAAAAGAACATTATTGTTTCATTGGCTGGCAAAGAATCAGAGAGATATTGGTGAACTTTGCGTGCTATCAAGTAGCTGTTAATGATTTGAATTGACTTGATTCAAGAACCGACATCACAGCACTCGGGGCATTCCCATTAGCGCCCCGTTTCCATATTCAGCAGCCAGCGAAAAGTTCCGATACTAATGGTGCCAGTAGCATTTTGATTAAACGTCCGTCTCGTCTTTCCTCTAAGCCTCGAGCATCTGCCAGAACCTCTCGTCCCTCCGCCCTGAATCAATCTCACCAGAATGATGATCCATCTGCTCCTCCAAACTGTACACGCTCTCCCACAAGGCACTAATCACGTCTGCCTTATGCCTTATAAGTAGCTATTAATTGTATACATTAATACAAGTGAGTAAATGAGTGAACGAGTTAGTGAATGAGTAAGGGTGGGATGAATGTGTGTGTGTGTGTGGGGGGGGGGGAGGAGTTAATGATTCACTAAGTGGCGCAAGGACGGAGGAAAAGTGTGTGTAAGAGGGAGTGGGGTAATAAGTGAGTCAGTGACGCAGTGAGGGAGGGAGTGAGTGATTGAGGGAATGAGTGAGTGAGAGATAATGAGTGAGTGGATACATAATACATGCGTCTGTTGGAGGGAACTATAACTAACAGATCACCCCACTTACACTCAGCGACACTGTACAGCAGCCATCAGTCGTGTTGCCCGGATTATCAGGCCCTCGCAGTTCCAACACATCGGCTTCCACTCTTCTCTCAAAGGAAAGGTCCAGCTGCTAAAGGTATGCCTCTCGTTAGTGTTTGTCTTCAGGACATAGTTATTTCGATAACATATCAAATAGAACGGTTCTATCCCAATATTCCCCCTCCCCTTTCCAACAGAGAGTCGAATATTTTAGGGTGTGGTAGATAGGCTGCATGCAGCCGTGGGACCTAGGCTGCATGCGGTCGTGGGACGTAGGCTGTACTCTCATGTGGGACGTAGGTGGGTTGGGGTTAGGGCTAGTTCTAGATGTTTTGGGCTAGTTAAAAGCATCAAAAACCCGGGAAACCCGATCTGACCAACCACGAGGAAGATCCATGGGAAAAAAAAAAGAGGAAAACGATGCAAGAAGATTCTTAACAACCTTTTATCATTGCATGGAGGGGTGAATGGACGCGAATTGGCACATGATGTTGAAGGAGAAGCATGATCGCCAACACCAATCGCCAAGTCTCTTGGGGGGAAAAAACCCAACCACATACACATGCACAGACACACGCGCTCACACACACACACACACACACACACACACACACAAGACACACACACTCAGATATACAGACATACTTGTCTTAAATTAGTACTAGGTAATGTCCAGGGAGGTGAAGGCGGCCGGCGTGATGTTGACCACATTACCCACCGAGCGCTGAATAGTCTAAACAAATATAAGTCTGGCAGCATATGCTCATCGGTGACCGGATCGCCCATTGGCTGGGGGGTAGACGACTTTGTTGTCGGTCGGGACAGTATTTGGTTCTGTCTTTGTTGATCGCATCAACATTGCAAGCATCCTTTTCATGGCTACTTCTATATCCTCTTCATGTCGCTGTTGACACATAAGGCATTCACAAGTGATCTCCATTGTTGCCGGTCTGCTGCTTTTCTGCCCATGGTATCCCATGTCCGTTTACATTCCTTTATTTCCCGTTCTACTGTCCTTCTCCAGGTTTCCTTAGGTCGTCCACGTCTCCTTTTTCTCTGCTGTCCACCGAAGAGCTGTTTTCGCCAGTGTCACAAGTAGTAACTTTCCAGAGCCTCTGTATGTGATTCTTTTTGTAAAGTGCATATGCTCGTCGATTAAAAATATAAATACTTTACACAGGACAAAACGTTTCGTATGGGTTCACGCCCTACACTAAACGTAAAGAAGACGAAAACAAACTTCAACCCCACACCTACAAGCATTGAAACCACAATCCGGGAGCATAAGAAACACAAGATCGAGTTCGCTTACGCAGGACAGGGCATCTTTTGGGGTATGACGCCAGTCAAGGATGATGTTATAGACTTCATATATGAACCTCCAATCCAGATAACCAGGTAGGTGATACTTAAGTCTAACTCGTTTGGTTTTAAACATCGAGTAGCGTTAGTTAATTGCTTGGTTATTAGACTGATGCGCTATTTTGCTGCAGTGGCGAAGCCTGACCAATTTGCATGTGTATGTGTTAGCAGGTAACGATTACACTACAGAGAGTCGGTTTTTCGCGTATCGTTTACAGGACATTGAAGAACCAACCCATATTTTGACTGTTGTTGTTTTTCTAGGCAAATTTACATCCAGTAGTTTGTTGAAGAGAGTATTATGTGACATTTTTCTACTTGTCGCTTTCTTTTGAGAGTATGTGCGGCATGCACCGTAGTACTGGTAGCTAGTAGCTTTCACGTGTTAGTTTCTGCAAGTTTTCAGCTGGCGTTCTTTTTGCTATGCTCGATACGTAAGGCGATAGGTGTATTTGTAAAAATAGTAAAAAAAAAAAAAAAAAAGTTGTAAAATAAAGCATTTTTCTTTTGTACTGGAAAGTGTGAGCGGCGCCTGCAGCCGTTACACGCCCCTCCCGCCATTGGTTGTAAACAGTTTGGATCGCTGAAAATGAAATGCAACACACGAAAAGATGAAAATAATTATAACAGAAAGTCAAAACAAGATTATCTGTTTGAACAGAAACAAAAGAGTATTTGCAATTCGCACACACAAACACACACAAAATACATAAAAGCAACTGCAACAAGCCTGAATCAAGTCGACACGTTTAAGTAATTTAATACTGTGATAACCGCAGATGGAAGAGGTATTGAGAATGTATATGTAGAATAGTACAAGTATGTCCTTTGTCAGTCGGTATCATGGGGAGTGTTATTAAAATATATATCCTGGTGTATGGAAGTGAATCATGGACACTTTACCGATTAGTGAAAAATTATAAGAAAACGGTCGAGGTGTGGTTTTATAGACGAATGGTGCGACCGCCATGGACCGATGACTGGAGTAATGGGGGTATCAAGTTGAATGTTGAACTAACACTTTTGCTCACACAAGGTTTTGCTTACAAATCAGTATTCTTTTCATACTCTAACCACTTGCCATGCTGTATGAATGAAAAGTGAATGAAAGATAACCCTGTGATTGCCAGATTTATTCAGTTTACACGAGCCAAAACTTAAATATAAAGAGACACTTGGTGTGAAATTTGAAAGGTGTGGAGAATAGTGAATATTGCATCGTGCTTTAATAATCTACATCACAACACTCAAGATACTTCCATAAGCGCCCCGTCCCCATCTTCAGAAGCAAGTGAACTGTTCCAATTCCGTTGGCATCTGTAACTGTCTGATAGTATACCCGTTTCGCCTTTCCATCGAGTCTTGAGAGTCCCCCAGAAATCCTAGTATCTCCCCACAGCACCTTTCTCCTCAGACTGTAATGCTCAGTTTGTAACTCCGCAGTGTTTACTCTTTCCTAAACGACCCTTACAATATCTCTAGCTTGTCATATATCAGTTCACTACCAAGTGGTGCAGAACTAGCCAGTCTATCTACCTGTTCATTTCCCAACACGCCGAAATGACCTTGATAAAATATGAAAAAGAAGCTAACTACCCGAGACCTCTGAAGCGATGCTTGTCACTTTGCACACAGCGTGCATATTTCCACCTTTCTCGTATTCAGCCGAAAAGTGAAAATCACTATTCGGTACAGCCCTACTTTTTATCCAACTAGGACATCACACAGAGCGATAAACACCCGGTGACACTAAGTGCCACCATTCGGATCACCTGTAGGGAGGTCCCGGAAACCCCGTTGAACCGTAATGTTATATTAAGGTCCCCGGTAAATAACCAGGGTGGGTCAATACAATTACGAAAACTTCGTCCCACGCAGGGACGGAGAGTTCTAATTTTCGTAAAGATTACCACCCCCCCCCCCCCCCCCCCCCGCAAAAAATATGCTCAACTTCACCGCAGTATGGGGTGCAGTTTTTTAAAATTATTTTAAAGCCCCACCTAGGCTGTCGTCAATGGGTGCGGTGGGAGTAGGGGGTCGCATATGTAACCTAACGGTTGAATGGGGTTTTGGGGACTTGTGCCCGGGGGATTCTCATCCATATGGTGGTGGTACCTTGTGTCACCGGGTGATTATCACTCGTCATGCGGTCCAGAGATACTACTGTGGAAGTACTAATAGTAAGTAGGCCAAACAATATACTTGTACACTTATGTTAAAACAAAGCCGCCTTTACTTCCTAGAAATTTTCCATCTCAGACTGTGTCGACCTGGGGGCTAAGATCATTTCTGTAAGAAATAAAATCCGCCTCGCTGTGGATTTAAACACTTGATCTAGCTTCTACAATGTACCTCTCATGATAACATTTCTTCTTCTTCTTCTTCTTCTTCTTCTTCTTCTTCTTCTTCTTCTTCTTCTTCTTCTTCTTCTTCTTCTTCTTCTTCTTCTTCTTCTTCTTCTTCTTTTTCTTCTTTTTTTCTTCTTCTTCTTCTTCTTCTTCTTCTTCTTCTTCTTTTCTTCTTCTTCTTCTTCTTCTCTTCTTCTTCTTCTTCTTCTTCTTCTTCTTCTTCTTCTTCTTCGTCTTCTTTTTCTTCTTCTTCTTCTTCTTCTTCTTCTTCTTCTTCTTTTTCTTCTTCTTCTTCTGCCTCTATTCGTTGCTTCCTTCTTTCCTCTTCCTTGTCCTCCTTTCTTTTCTTTCTTCCTTTCTTTCTCTTCTTTTTCTGCTCTTCTGTTCTTCGCTTTCTTCTTTCCCTTCCCTTGCTTCTTGTCTTCTCCTTTGGATATCCAAGGAGATAAAATGTTACCTTAGTATACCAGTACGTATACGAAACAGGGCGTATACCAAACATGACGTATACCAAAGAGTACGTATACCAAACATAGGGCATACGAAACAGTTCGTATACGAAACAGGGCGTATACAAAACATGGCGTATACCAAACAGTACGTAAACTAAACAGTACGTATACCAAACAGTATGTATGCCAAACAGCACATATGCTAAACGAATTTTCCTATAAAAAATAAAGGGAGAGTGATAAATCCGTTACAGTGAAAAAAAAGTCATTGATACTGGGAGAGCTGCCGTGGTGTCGCGGCTAGACGCTCGCCTGCGGATCGGAAGGTCGTGGGTCGGGTCCTGACAGAGTCGTACTTGATTTTAAAAAAATTATCTTGACTTCCAGGTCGTCCCACTCTCAAGTGGGTACCAGGTAAAGTCCTGGGCAGTAAAGGCGGTCGGTGTGATGCCGATCACATCACCCACCGAGCGCTGATTGGTCTATACAAAATATTGGTCTAACCCTGCATGCCCAATATGCCTAAAGGCGTGGAAAAGGGTTTTTGATAACACAATCGCGTGATTATTGTGACAACGTCTGGTGCTATGCAGAATGCCATGATGTTGCAGGAAAGGCAGGCTGCTCTCCTTGTCAGGCACTGATGCTGCTTATTCAAGGACATTCATGGCGATGAAGACTGAACACACACGTCGCTGGAGAGATGCCGCTGAAAGAAGAAACGAACCAAACCTTGGCAACGCTTGGCAACGCCCTGGAAGACACACAGACAGCGGGAAAGCCCTCTCTTACCACACTGGAAATTATTGGACTGTCCCGTGACGTCATCTGTGGTGAAATGTTGGGAAAGAAACCCTGGTGCTTAACTTTATATTGTTTGTTTGTTTTAGTATCCAGAAGCCATGAGTTGTTAACCCTTAGGCTCAGTATTATGGATATCGCAACCTTTCGGCCTTGATTCCATTGTAAATACCGTAAATCTGGGAGAAATGTGGCTTTTCTGCCTACCCCCGGGGGTGAACCCGGACCACAAGGAGTTCGTCACCCGGTCACCGCGCAATCCGGTTTAGCCAATAACGCTAGAGAGCCGGGCCTTAACTTTATATTGATACTGGTACATTATACATTGATGGGGTTGTGTAAAATAATTGATATACTAGCAAATAATCAAAACATAAATACAAAAGCAATTAGTTAAAAGGAATTCATACGTAACCTCATTTTACCTTCATGAGAAGAGTCGAGTGCCTACTAGGAGGGCACTGAGAATGGAGGAGTAGATGTTATTGCTTGAAGTGACTCTGGCTGGTCATCCCAGACAAAGCTTATACGTCTTGTTCGGGCTTTGCTGGGGGGATACTTCTCTGCAAAGTCATTGACATGTATCCGTGTGTTTATCTCGAGAGAGGTCGTAAACAAAAAGATAACGAGAAGTGTCGTGACTAATTTTGACTCAAGACAAGTTCTAGCACGCGGGTCGTATTCCAAACAAAGGTAGTATACCAAGCACAATGTTTAGCGTCTTAAAAGTTTTACTAAGTTCAAAGTAAACCAAAGCGAAATTATTCCAATGTATATGGTTCTGCTTCTTAGTCTGGGTTCAGTGCCGACTGTTTCTCTTAGGACCTCATGCCAGATTTGAGCTCCTGTGGTTTTTCCCGCAGCCCTTCTGAGACATCTCATTTCTATGGTTACTAATTTTTTTGTCTTGTTTGTTGTGCTGACCGAATGCAGCCAGAACAACTACCAATGCATGCGTTACACATAAAAAGATCTGAAGTGAAAGCAGAGGATAAGGATTGATGACATTAAAAAGCATCTACATCGACACAGAATCACAGTAGTCAATGCTGCCCGTCAATCAATGGATCGCAAACTGTTTCTCCCCACTTAACGGCAGGAGTGGAAAGTGACGACGATGATGATGTGCGGATCATGTCTGGCAGTGGTAGAATGAGGTGTTATTTTGTGCCGACTGGGAATGTCGTAAGCGATAAGGGAAAAAAAGGTGGGGGAGTGGGAGTTTCTTACTATCCCAGATACTTTTCACATGTCCAAACAAGCATTGACTGTCTACATTCACACAATAAAAACATCTCCTAAATATAAAAGTGTTTTAAAATAACTATTTATCTTTGCGCATGTATATCTATAACATATGCATACCTACACTAGCGACCAGGTGGCAGGCAAGTAATGCAGGAAGAAGCACAGACAGAGTTGACATCATCTGCTCTGTACGTACCAGTCTGGCGGATAACAATGAATCTCTGGCGCTAACACAGTTGTGGGACTTGTGAGTGAAGCCCGCCTTTGCAGTCTTTGAGGCCAAGTTAGGAGACACTATAACCAACGTCTCATGGGAACAATCAGTACATGTACCACTATGAACGTGGCTGCTGCATCAAAGGTTTGAGCCTGCATGGGAATGCCCAATGTGCAGTGACGCTGACTGTGATGATGTAACATAACATTGCATAACATACCCATATGTATCTTAGCACTGGCAGATTTACGTTTTTTAAAGGTTTTCATGTTGTGAGGATCTGGTTCTTATCCTATATGCCCCTCTCCCTCTCTCTCCCTCTCTCTCCACAGAATATCTAAATGCTTACCAAGAGCGTCGTACAAAGCACAGATTCCATAACTCTAGACACGATCCCCAAGTATAACAATAAAAATGTCGTGGACCGATTCGTGAAACGAACCCACGACGTTCAGAACGAGAGGAAAACAAGTAAACACTTCGCTACGGACACTCATGTACACACACACACACACACAAGCACGCACGCGCGCATACACACACATTAATTTATATACACTTTTTCCCCAGGAAGAAACTGTGCAACATACGAAGACATTTCAAGTTGTTGGTCACTTTGATAAACACGGCGTGGCCGAGGCATCAGTGCCGACATCCCTGGGTAGAACAGGAGTGTTTCGCATTCACGTCAACTCAAACATGACGCATTGGGTCATTCTTTCAAACGTAAGGCCTTATACTCGTTTGCTGCCTTATTATCAGTACATTTTTTTTTATTTCTGGCTGCTCGGCAACACCATCAATCATATGTAGGTGTTAATTTATATCCCTTCTGCAATGAGTTGTCCCTTCAACTAACTACTAGTAATACTACTACTACGGCTGCTGCTGCTACCACTACTACCACCACCACCACTAACACTATTATTACCACCACCACCACTACTACTATTATTACCACCACCACTACTACTACTGCTGCTAATACTACTACTACTATTACCACTACTACTACTACTACTACTATTACTACTACTACTACTACTACTACTACTACTACTACTACTACTACTACTACTACTACTACTACTACTACTACTACTACCACCACCACCACCACTACTTTTACTACTACTACAAATACTACTACTACTATTACCACTACTACTATTATTACTAATACTACCACTAATACTTTTACTGCTACTATTACCACCACCACTACTACTACTATTATTACTACTACTATTACTACTGCTGCTAATACTACTACTGCTACTGTGACCACTACTATTACTACTGCTGCTAATACTACTACTGTTACGAATACTACTATTACTACTGCTGTTAATGCTACTACTACTGCTTCTATTACCATTGCTACTGCTACTATTACTACTGCTGCTAATGTTACTACAACTGTTACTATTACCACTACTATTACTACTGCTGCTAATGTTACTACGACTGTTACTATTACCACTACTATTACTACTGCTGCTTATGTTACTACAACTGTTACTATTACCACTACTATTACTACTGCTGCTAATTGATGCAGGATATGACTCAGCTGGGCGACTCTGTTTCTTTTGGCATTCTGTCATTTCTTCGCTATTGGTTGATTGGTACTGAGTGAGTTCAACAACAAATCGGATCATTTTCCTCAATGACAGTTAGTGCAAACTGGATCGCTAATACCCATTGCCTCCTTTGGACGGGTTATCTGTTAGAAACATGACATCCATTCGCCTCGAGACTCTCTCTCTCTCTCTCTATCTCTCTCTCTCTCTCTCTCTCTCTCTCTCTCTCTCTCTCTCTCTCTCTCTCTCTCTCTCTCTCTCTCTCTCTACCTTTACCCTACACCACTGTGGTTGCTCAAATATGCCTTGTCCAGTCCATACTCCAGACGAGATCGCAAGATGTAGCGAGGCATCATCGCCCACGCCATTCGGCAAGGCTCGTGAAGGGAAAAATGATAAGGATGATTATGATGTAACACGATGATTTCAATAATTGTACATGTGTATGTTTATTTTCTGAACCCTATGACCATATGTTGGTTTATTTTCAGATATCTATAGTGCAAGCATAGACTGTTTTGGCATCAAATTTCTCTCAGCTTGGCTTGTATATCGTTCCGCAAAGAGGTCTCTGGAACTCAAACGAGGACGACATGTGTATTATGGCGTGGGGTTAACATCATATGTTTTCTCCGGAAGAACAATTACAATCTGAAAACGTTATGCGGTAACAGACCGGGTCCGTAGCTATAGCTGGAGTTAGATCAGGAGGAAGCTTTGAAAGCGCGACGGAGCACTCATCTGATTCGGCAGCTTCTGCAGCACGCTTTGTTCCAAACGTACTGGTGTTACCTTTCCTTTGGAGTAAACACGACAGGCCAAGCAGAATATCATACTGCATGCGCAAACATATGATCTCTGTAATACTACCCAGGCTTTGTGGTATGGCTTGCCGTTTTGCGGAAAGAGACCGAGACACGTGGGATAGAACCTAGTACAAAGAAGTCGATCCTCTCGACTTTAACCTTCAACCTTTAACTGTGTGGTGGATGGAAGGAACTTTACTGCCTGTAATGGGTGTGTCGTCATGGGCTGGGATTTCCAGAATTAAAAAACAAATGCTTAGACTACAACTTGGATGGGTTTGCTTTACTTAATGGTAGTGGTTCTCAACCTTCTTAACGCCGCGACCCTTTAATACAGTTCCCCCCCCCCCCCCCGCGCATCAAATTTGTTTCGTTGCTACTTCATAACTTCAATGAACAAGTGTTTTTCGATGGTTCTAGGCGATCCCTGTAAAAAGGTCGTTCAAGGGGTTGCGACCCACAAGTTGAGAACTGCTGCTATGTAGGAAGACACCTTGATTTATGCCAGAGCACAATAATATATAGCACTAACTGCTAGAGTGGGAGTCGCCGTGGCGGAGAGGCTAGACGCTCGCCTGCAGATCGAAAGGTCGTGGACCTTGGCTTCCAGGTCGACCCAGCCTTGAGTGGGTACCGGGTGCAGTCCCGGGAAGTAAAGGCGGCCGGCGTGATCTGACCACATCACCTATCTTGTGCCGTTGGTCTATAAATATAGGTCTAGCCCTATACGCCTACAGTCGTAGAAAAGGGTCCTTTACTTTTTAATTTTTTTTTAAACTAAAATCAGTATACTGTATGACGGATAAGAAAATGTCCCGGCGTGATGCTGACCACATCACCCATCTTATGCCGTTGGTCTATAAAAATATAGGTCTAGCCCTATATGCCTAAAGGCGTGGAAAAGGGATCTTTACTTACTTTTTTTTCTATATATATGACAAGTTGAAGATAAGCTAGAAAAAAGTAGACAGCGATACACGTGGGAGAGACAGAAGAACAGTGGTCTAAAGTGTGTACAACCAGAATGACAAAGAGAGAATGCAAGAGATCTATTGCAACCAGCATTTTCTGTGAAGAAAACATCTGACTGATCTGCTTTTGCTTCTGCTGGAAGATATAAGACCGAAAAGTTAAACAAACAAACAAAAACCATCAGTGCCACCAGAAAACAATCAGTTAAACATACCAACAAATATAAGTGGGAAAACAAAATAACAGTCAGTGCCACCAACAAAAACCAATTAAACACATTCTGTTATTAGAAAACATATTCCTACAGCGACAACCCTACAGACAGCAAAAACACTTATAAAAGCTATAAACATAGAGACTTGGCTGAACAGATGGGCCACGAGACACTGGAAGAGAGGTTTATAGACACATGGCTGGCCCTGATTCTAATGACAGCATTAACCATTTAACAAGAAGGGACCAGGCCACCATCTTCAGACTCAGAACACAACATACTTCACTCAATGGACACCTAAAAAAAAATACAGCCACAACACTCCCCAGAGTGCCAGCTATGTAACTACCCCTATGAAACTGTTGACCATCATCTCTTTGAGTGCCCAAAACTCAACGAGACTAGAAGAATGCTACCCTCTCCGAGACCAGACAAGTGGAACACCTTGTACGGATGAAAAAGAACAGCTTGTGAAAACATGTAAATTCCACTACATGGCATTAGGCCTAAGGGCGAAAGCTCATGCGCAGATGGATCAATAACAACAACAACAACAACATTAGAAAACATATTAAGCAAAACAAAAACAACCATCTGTGCCGCCAACAAAACACAAATTAAATAAAGCAACCACTTTTGCCATATATAAAGATAAATTAAACACATCTGTTTACTAAGAAGAAACAAGCTGAACAAAACAACATAGGTTAGTTGGGTATCATTTACATAACGTTGCAGCACCAACCCCAGCAGCCCCTGGCTGTTGTGTGGTTTCTCTAGGCAAATTTATGTCTAGTAGTTTGCCATTTCTACTGGACGGTTGGTCCCCTGAAACCACTGTTGGAACCAACGCAAGGCGCAAGGCCTGCAGCTGGGATTGAACCCGGCACCCCGGCATTACGAAAGCGTTCGCATCAATTTAGCCACAGAGCCGACTTCAGTAGTGTAAACAAGTTAAAAAGGGCCATCTGAACAGACAGTTGCCGTCCCCATGTGGGATGCAATTTTTCGTTATTTGAAGCCCCACCTTGGCTTTTTGCCGGGGGCCTTAAAACGGCTGAGCCATAAATATGGCCTAACGGCTGAATGGGGTTTCTGTGACCTCTCCACGGGTGATCCTCATCCGCATGGTGGTACTATGTCACCGGGTCTTAGTCACTTAGTGTGATGTCCTGGTGGGGTACAACTTACATACAGGCTACATACAGGCCCAGTTCCTCTTAATGAGCATCTGATAAAAGGAAACTAATACAAAGCAGATCTGATAAGGGAACTCACTGTGACCCAAGAAATTGTTTTTCTTATCAGAAATTTCCCTTATCAAGATAAGAATTCAAGAAGAATCGCTCGAGATAAACAAATTTTTCTTCACAATAGTAATTGGTCACATCTGAGATCGCATTGAGTGGTCTGCACTGTAAAGGGTTTTAGCTGAAATAAGAAGTGTTGTGTGGATATTGCAGATATCACAATCCAGCTATAAACCACAATAAAACATGCTAGCCACCCTTTCGAGGGTGAATTTATAAAAACAAAAAGATATTGAAGGAGGAAAAGAAGAATAAAAACTAACAGAAATACGAATACAGGGAAAGGAGATGAAGGCGGAGGTGGAGGAAGAGACCATGCACAAATAAGTTTTTAAAAAATGTATCCATGTCACCAGCAAAAACAAACATGTAAAATAAATCATGAACATTTGTTTTTAATTGGAAAAATGCTGGTATGCCAGTCACAATGCGGATGCAATAATCATGACTGTAATATTAACAACAAAAGTGGCCACAATGAAATCCTTGATTAATAAATCGAAACAAACAACATAGCTTCTGCAAATGTTCACAGAAAATGAAACATCAAGTAACTAGTTTAGAATAAACATATATAACATAATTATTACCTTTTGAAACAGCATAACGAATATTCTTCTTCTTCTTCTTCACTTCCTCTTTTACCGCTGTGGGTGTCGAGGGAGATATATAAGGTTCTGTTTCTAGCTCTTCTGGCTGCCTCGACCATAGGCACATCGTGCTGTTGTAGAGTTTCTCTGATGTTATCCTTCCATCTTGTTCTTGGTCTACCCCGTGCTCTACGTCCTTCTTCTCTTTCCATGTATGCTTTGTATGGTATGTTGTCACAAGGCATTCTCTCTAAGTGGGCAAACCATTTCACTTGCTGTCTTTGTATGTAATCCAGAATTGGTTCTGTGCCGACTTGTTCTCTTATGATCTCATTTCTGATCTTATCTCTTATGGTCACTCCTACAGCCCTTCTCAGACATCTCATTTCCGTGGTTACTAATTTTCTTTTATGGTTTGTTGTGAGTGACCATGTCTGGCACTGGTAGCACAGAGTTGGAATAAATATGCTTTGAATAAGATGTCTCTTTGTGCTGACTGGGATTGTCTTATGCTGTAAGAGGGGGGCTAGCTGTCCCAATACTTGGTTTGCTTTACTGCATCTAATGTCAATTTCTTTATCCAATTTCCCATCTTCGGTAAATGTAGTTCCCAGGTATTTAAACTCAGATGCCTGTTTAATGCCTTTGTATTCTATTGTTATGTTTAGATCTGTCTTCTTTTTTCCTATTGACATTACTTCTGTCTTTTCAGTGTTGATTTTCATATTATTTGTTTTACATTCTTCATTCATGGATGTTAGATGTTGTTGCAATTTCATGGCTGTATCTGCTATCAAGGCCTGGTCATCTGCAAAGAGTAATTCGTTGATCTTACTAAGATCTTCATTCATGGGCTTGGCATTCTTGCATATACTGTCGATGTAGATGATAAACAGCAGTGGTGATAAGACACACCCCTGTCTTACTCCAGATGTCACTGTGAAAGGATGAGATGTTCCCTGATTTATTCTAACTACACTTCTATAATCACTGTATAAACTTTTGCACACTTCGATGAGGTGTTCGCTTACTCCATATCTTGCCATTATTTTCCATAATAATTGTCTGTCGACTCTGTCAAATGCCTTCTCCTGGTCCACGAATGCCACAAATAAGTTCTTATTGTATTCAATGTTCTTTTCTATTAACTGTTTAAGTGTGAAGATTGCATCTGTGCAGCTTCTATTTCTCCTAAATAATATTCAACACTTTAAATAAAGTAGCATTTATGGTATGAGATAAGAATAATAATACAAATACTCCAATACAGTACTAAGCTATATACCTATGTATCTATTTATACTAAGTGTTTAAAAAAAAAATTATTTTGAAGAAGCCTGGATTGGGTATTTGCAACAACAACAGTACAAAGAAGAACAGTATAATGGTAAGGACCATGGGTGCCGATTCTGGAGGTGTAGGAAATATGAGCTCCCTCCTACTCTCCTCAATTAAAGGCAGAGTGCCCCTGCCTGAAAGAATTTGCAATGGCCTATGCAGCACATTATTATTATTACCCATTTAAATAAGTCTTACTTACCTTGAGCATCCCTATAAATTTTGTAAGGGTGCCGGGGCACCCCCCACCCCCTCTTTTTTTTTAAAAACGTTTTCTTTATGTCAGCTGCCTCGGTGTGGACATGTAACAAAGTTCTGTGGGTCTTTTCAAAAATCATACTACAGGACCCAGTACAAGGGAAGAGGAGACCAGACGGGGCCCAATACAAGGGAAGAGGAGACCAGACGGGGCCCAGTACAAGGGAAGAGGAGACCAGACGGGACCCAGTACAAGGGAAGAGGAGACCAGACGGAGCCCAGTACAAGGGAAGAGGAGACCAGACAGAGCCCAGTACAAAGGAAGAGGAGATCATACGGAGCCCAGACGTTTTCTTTATGTCAGCTGCCCCGGTGTGGACATGTAACAAAGTTCTGTGGGTCTTTTCAAAAATCATACTACAGGACCCAGTACAAGGGAAGAGGAGACCAGACGGGGCCCAATACAAGGGAAGAGGAGACCAGACGGGGCCCAGTACAAGGGAAGAGGAGACCAGACGGGACCCAGTACAAGGGAAGAGGAGACCAGACGGAGCCCAGTACAAGGGAAGAGGAGACCAGACAGAGCCCAGTACAAAGGAAGAGGAGATCATACGGAGCCCAGACGTTTTCTTTATGTCAGCTGCCCCGGTGTGGACATGTAACAAAGTTCTGTGGGTCTTTTCAAAAATCATACTACAGGACCCAGTACAAGGGAAGAGGAGACCAGACGGGGCCCAGTACAAGGGAAGAGGAGACCACATGGGGCCCAGTACAAGGGAAGAGGAGATCATACGGAGCCCAGACTGGATCGAGAATCTGGCTTAGACCCCAGACAGAAAAGTTTAATCCCAGCGCACTTGACTGCCTGAAATGGAAACACTCGACCAAACAGTGTTTCTGTATGGTGCGATCTCCGACAGCATATATTAATTTATGCGACAACACATTTCTATAGCAACGGTCTGTCAAGAATCTTTGGTGCTTTAATATCCTACCCCAAACAGGGGTGGTAGATAGGCTGGTTGCAGTCATGGGACCTAGGCTGCACTCTCTCGTGGGACGTAGGTGGGTTGGGGTTAGGGCCAGTTCTATGTTTTGGGGTCATTAAAAGCATCAGAAAGCCGGGAAACCCAGTCTTGCCAACCTCTAAAATGTTGGACTATCCTGTGACATCATCTGGGGTAGGATCATCATCATGTAGCAGGTCCTTTGCAGAACGTTGCTCTCATCACAGTCTGCCTGTAAGAAACTCGGTCTCTTGCCAGTTCTCCCGCCTCATGAACTTTCACACTCAAAGAGTCACTTATATCCTGTGCCCATCTTCGTGTCGGTCGGCCTCTGCTCCTCCTTCCTGGTACCATGCCTTCTGCTATAATTTTTTCCAATCCGTCGTGGCGCTTGATATGACCAAAATATTTCAGCTTTCGAGAAAGGATGCTGTTTATTAGCCAATCTTCCTTGATGTTCAGATCTGGGGTAGGATATTAATTTTTAAAAAAGTGAATCTTCATATACCTCTCTTTCAATAAACTGTTCTAAGTGTCCATACAAAGGAAAAATAAAAGCATCACCCCTACAAGCCAATATACTCCAGCTGTGATCCCCTAGTCACTTCTTGCAGGACCATTCTCCTCAGACCGTGATGATCTATTTGTGCCTCCGCACTGTTCACTCGCTTCCAAAGGATCCTTAGACCATCTAGCTTGAATGTTAAATTAAGAATTAACATCACAGCATTCGGGATACTCCCATAAGTGCTCAGTCCCCATCTTCAGCAGCAAGCGAAGAGTTCCAATCCTGATGGTACCAATAACCGTCTGACTGTATATCCGACTCATCCTTACCCTGAGTGTTGAGTGTCAGCCAGATCCCCTGGTAATTCCTCGCAGCGCCATTCTTCTCTGCAGTGTTCACCCGTTCCCAAAGGACCCTCACAATACCTAACTTGTCATGCATCAATTCACCACCAAGTGGTACAGAACCAGCAGTCTATCCGCCTGTTCCTTTTTGGTTGTTTTCTGAGGCAGTATTCTGCCGCGGCTACCTGAATGGTTCATTCATCATTACAACTGTCCAGATCAAAGCAAAGCTGTTGGCTAATAAATCCTCAGAAACTGATTTCGAATGGCAGGATGGTAAAACTACATTCACATCCACTAGTTATATTCATCTTACTAATATCCTTCCTCATCAAACATTAAACAGATCTAATAACCTATGTATCTAAACCATAGATTTTAAGTAACTAGCTTGATACATCAAGCCCTCATTTGGAATTTGGATAGAGGAAGGGAACAGAAAACGGGGAAGACCAATAGAAACTCTACGTAGAACCATCATCAGGGAAGGCTCAATCGTGGGCAGAACAAACATCCAAGACCTAAAACAGGTGGCAACGAACCGCCAGACATGGAGAGCTATGACTTCTACCCTATGCGCCACCCTAGGCTCAAGAGGAAAGTTAAACTAACTAACATTTTTTTTTTATAAAACCAAGTTTTACTTAACATTAAACAAAATTAATTTTTTTTTAAATCAGAAAATTATGGGAAACAAATTGAGCTTTTCACAAATGTTTCTGATTTCTTGATTGTGTTTGAATCTCCCCGTAACACCTTTCACTTTGTTACATGAAAACACCATCTAGGAAACACTAGTGTACAATGTATTTGCAATTGAAATAATTATGCTCAATTTGTTTCCCATAATTTTCTGAACATTCCCACACGGTCATGTACACTCCCACAAGGTCTAATGTATGCCACCACAAGGTCTTATGAACATTCCCACACGGTCATGTACACTCCTACAAGGTCTAATGTACATCCCCACATATAACCCCAATATTTGTTAACCAGGTTAGCCTTCCCAGGTGATTCTCAAAGCATCAAGCAAATCATTATTAGGGGGACAATGACTACAGCCAAACAATGACTACAGCCAATCAACAACTACAGCCAAACAATGGCTACAGCCAAACAATGACTACAGCCAATTAACGACTATAGCCAAACAATGTCTACAGCCAATCAACGACTACAGCCAAACAATGGCTACAGCCAAACAATGACTACAGCCAAACAATGACTACAGGCAAACAACGACTACAGCCAATCAACAACTACAGCCAATCAACAACTACAGCCAAACAATGACTACAGCCAATTAACGACTACAGCCAAACAATGGCTACAGCCAATC